TTCGATACACCGACCACAAGATGAAACGGTGCCACACTTTTCGAGCTGCAAGGGGAAGCTTGGCGTTGAATAGGGCATGAAAAACGTTTGTTCCCTCTTGCCCGCACAGTCCACATACGTCATCCCCCACACATGCTGGGCGAAGCATCGCGCGAACGGACGGAACGGAAGCACTGGGGGTCGGCCGCGGGAGGGATGAGTGAGGGCGGGTGCTTCTGTTTGCGCAGGGGGGTTCATGATTTCTTACAAACTGTTCGTCATCCAACACTCGCTGCAGGATGAAATACACTTCCGTTCATTTCATACAACCCTTCGATTTTTACGTTGGCTGCTCCGCTTCCGCTGCTAGACTAAATCCACACACTGCATGCGAACCCCTGAAATGGCGTTGGCAGCTGAAGGCCAGCGAGCTGGGGCCGAGAAGGAAGTGCAGTTTACGTCTGATTCCAACATGATCAGATCTGCGTCCGTTACCGCGTTAACGGAGAGCCATTTGATGCTTTTGAAGGCATTTCATCACACCGAAAAGCCTGCCGTGCTTGCTCCGTCAACAGGGACTTGCGATGACTTGGCATGCTTCGACTGGTGCCCCTCTTCGCCCATTTCTGCGCTCACCCAGTCCTTGCCATCCCTATTCCCGCCCTCGTCTCCTTACACATGCATCTCGGATGCCATGAAGGCGATGGAAGAAGAAAAGCCTAACGACCCCCTCATGTCGACCAGCGGTGACGAGGAGCTTCTGACACCTCAAGACGATGCGCGTCTCGTAAACATTCCTGTGACTGCCGTATCGTCTCGCAAGCGGCGTGCGTTCCCTGGTGGCACCAACTCGGGCGCGAGCAGCAGTGACTGCTGCGACGGCGAGCGCGGCGTTGCTGCACCCACGCTTCGCCTCCCCATTCAAGGGGCGTCGCCACCTGAGAGTTGCGGGGCCTGCACGGAATGCACAGAAGGCACAAACCCGCGGTTGTCCGCCGGCAATCTGATTGCGAACGACGTGGAGCGCGCTCCTGGCGCGCACCCCAGTGACACGAGCAAGGGTAATATCGCAGCCTTTGCCACAGCTCCCGGCAGGCCGTCGAGCTGTCGTCCTCGGCCGCTCCCCGCGACCATGCGGCTGACTATGGCGGACATCAAATGCGTCATCGGACTCAAAACAGCGCCTCCCACCAAAAAGTATAGCATCTCGCCTTAGCATCTGTTTTGACATTTCCCACTCGACTCCCACTGACCTTCCCCCCCTCTGCACCCCTGTGCCCCTCATTCACGTGTTTCCAGACCACGGAAAGGAGAAGTCGCCGCGCTGGCAACACAACCGTGCACTGCTGGTAGTAAGCCGCACTTGGAGCACACGCGCGCACTGTCGCCGCATCGCGGAGCACCGGCTCTTCCGCACCCCACGCGAGCCAACCTTCCGCACTCTCGTTCTTCTGCTGGTATAGCCATTCCTTCGGATCAAGCGCACCACGAGCCATCTCGCTGCCCGCCAGGTGTTGCCACAAGCCCCGCCCACTTCGGCGCGCCGCAACTGGCTTCTCCCGCCGGTTCTCCTCCAACTCCGTCGCCATTGGCGGAAACAGTCGCCCCGTGTCACTGTGATGAGGTGGACGCCAACGGCTACTCATCGCTGCGCTCTCCGTGCTGCTGCCCGCCGCCCAACTCCATGCACGGCGCCCCCTGTATGCTGCCCCTTGCAACCTACCTTCCATCTGCCATTGCAGCCTCGCCCTTTTCAGCTGCCGCAGCAGCAGCTGACCCCCATTGGGCGAGGCTTGGTGGCGGGATAGGCAACAGCAGCAGCAGTCCGGACTTGGATGCCGTGCTCCCGCTGGCCGCCCGCCAGCTGCCCACCATGGCATGCGCCACTCCGCGCTTCCTCCACTCGCTGCCGCTTGCACCACCCCAGGTATCTCCCTACCCTCACATACTCGGCATGGGCATGGGTGTGGACGCGGGTATGATGGGGTGTGGGTTCCGAGTAGGATCGGTTGGTTTGGAGAACGGGAGTAGCGAGGAGGAGGGATGCACTTGTGGTGCGGGGAGGACATGGGATAGGGAAGAAATTGAACCGGGACAGATCCCAGGCCGATGGCTGTCCATGCCAGGAGCAGCGGCTAGTGCTGGGCTCCCCCCATGGCTCTCGACGCCCTCCTGCCACGTTCAGCCTCTGCATTGGCAGCAGAACCAGCAGCAGCAGCAGCAGCAAGAAGTGGATGCGTACTCTGTGCCTTTCCCGATAATGGACCGTGCTTTGCCATGGGAGGCAAACGTGCATGCTGGTGTTACTGGATCCCCAGCAGGGGGTATTGTTTGGCAACACAGAGATGGTGGTGCTGCAGAGTTCACAGAGCGAGCAGCACCTACTCCTGTTGACAAGCTTGCTGCAAGAGATTGGGACACAGAAGTGGGACAAGATGCGCCTCAGCAGGTCACGGAGCAAAAGTTGGCAGCTAAGGGAGACCATGCAAGTTCAGGCGATGAAAAGGAAGTCAAAAGGTGAGATATTGCTCTTCCAGTCGTCAGAATCAGAGCCAAGACTGGCCTTTTTACTGCCCTTGTTCACATAAACAGCAAGAATCTTAACACAACACGATTTGCTCTGCTCTGCAGAAAGGAGTCAAATCGTGAATCGGCTCGACGGAGTCGAATGCGCCGACAAGATATGATGGAGCGGCTTCATGAAGAGGTAAGGGGCTCAGAATCTTTTGTATGTGATGAGTATGTGTGCGGTTGCCTATGTTGTTTCGAAGATGGACATATCTGGCAACTTAGTCGGGTCCCTGTTAACGTACCGTAACATCACCATGTGCTTTCTTGCAGACTTCACAGCTTCGCCAGACAAACAGAAGTGTGTTGGAACAAGCATCAAGAGCAGAGGAACAGCTGAAAGCGTTGAAGGTTGTTCACCAAAGGCTCAAAGACGAATGTGAAGAAGCCAGAAAGCAGATTGCTGCAGCTGGACTGGTCCAAAAAGAGGCCTGAAGTTGATCGATAACTAGGTTTTCTAAGGCTTGTTTGGTTGTGATGCGTGTTGTGGTTATGTTTTGGAATGCCGTTTCACAAGATTATAGTTTGTGATGAGCTCAGTGATAGTGATGAGGAGACGGGGAGTGTTGGAAACAAGTAATTTAATGCTTCCTACGGTATGTGTCGTAGCATCGAACCGTAAACGAGGCAAGCTACAGTGGAGCAATGGCGAGTCAATCGAGGAGGTTGACAGAAAAGTAATAGCCGGAGGTTACGCGAAGATCAAAGGTCAGCGACCTTTGACTCGACAATACTGCGCGACAGCAAGGACAAACAACTGACTCGATATTGAGCAGTTGCCCGAGTCGTCACTGTATCGAACTGCAACAGCAACAGTAAAACAATTATTGCTGTCAGAATGTGTAGTATGTCTAGCCTGCAGTGGGGTACTCTATAGTGAGTACGGCCCCTTAGGCTTTCCTATGTGTATCCACATGCTTGCTAATGCAATCCTCTTTGGCTAATCTCTCGACTCCTTCCTCTCGTAACTCTCGTTCTACCATCAACCCAAGTCCTAAGTCAACTTAGGCTTCAAACAATTGCATCCTTTCATATTCCTTGTAATCTTATAAAAGATTGCCCTTACAATCAATCTATCTTGCCCTCACATACCAGCGTAAGGTGGTTCAACAGTTTATCATTGAACGCTTTCGCAACTACCAACATGGTATCAGAGTCTTTAGCCTTGAAATATCCTAAGGGCTTTTCTCAGCCCAACATGGTATGAGAGCTGACAAGGCAAGATTCAACTTCGTTTTTCTACAACATCAGAAGACATGGCAACACAGAAGGAGAGAAGCTCCTCTAACGGCTCTCCTGGTACTACCCCTACTCCACCTCCAGCCTCTGGTCTACAGATTGAGGGAGGCACGGCGTCAAGACCAGCTACTGAGTCCACTGAGACTCCCGCAAACCAAACTGTTACGAAGAAGAAGTGATTGCACTATGAAAGTTGGAGTACAAGTAGGAAACCCTAGCTTTGTGTACCCCCTAAAGGCTAACCCACAATAGCCTACACAACAATAACACATATAGTGTTTGACACACCCCCATAGGCAAAGTGGGGGAGAGCAAGGGGTCACAAGACCAGTCAAGAAAGGCAAGCAAGCTCAGGGTGGATCACAATGTCACCACACACTCCGAGCACAAGCAAAGGGCCACATGGCCAGTTCACATGCAAAAGTATATATAAATAGTACAGACAGCAAAGGTGATCTCAGCCTAGCAGAACAAACAGGCAGGAGTATATATAGAGATCACAGTACAGACAAAGCCTACAACAAGTGAGGCAAAGTGGTTACCAGCCCCAACAAAGTACAGAAGCGCTGATAATCACCAGACTGAAGTGCCTTGGTGAATATATCAGCGGTGTTGGCCTGAGAGGCCACGTAGCGTAGACGAAGCTGACCATGCTGCTGCAGCTCACGAGCAAGGAAGTAACGGAGAGCGATGTGCTTCGTTCTGTGCTCCAGTCTGTGCTCCTCACACAAGGCAATGGCAGCCTTGTTGTCGACGTACAGCACTGGAGGAGAACTAGGCCCCTCTCCAAGGTCGGTCAGCAGGTAGGTGAGCCAGCGTAACTCCTGTGCAGCCATGGCTATGGCGTAGATCTCAGCCTCACAACTGGAGCTGAGAACTGAAGACGAACGCGTAGAGCGCCACGAAACTGAACCAGAGCCAAGACTGATGGTGTAACCCTGTGACGACCGCTGAGTAGCCTGGTCGTCAACCCAAGAAGCGTCTGAGTGCCCAGTGAGAACAACTGAGCTCCCTCCTCCAAGCACGAGCCCCATGCCTGATGTACTGCACAAGTAGCGCAATACCCTCTTTGCAGCATCCCAGTGCATCTTTCGGTGACGACCAGGAGCCACGTAGCAAGCCAGAAGGCCAAGAGGGTATGCTAGGTTAGGACGAGTGCAAGTCATCAGGTACATGAGGCAACCAACTAGCTCTGGGCAAGGACCACTCGACTCTACGGACTCATCCGAAGGCAGAGCTGAGAGCGAGTGACCTATAGCCAGAGGAGTGGCCTGTGCTGAGGACCAGGTGAAACCGAAGCGCTGAAGGACCTGCTGCACCATGTGTGACTGAGTCAGGGTAATGGTGCGGCGTGCTCTGTCCCGGGTGATCTGCAAGCCAAGATAGCTGCGCACTTCACCCAGGTCTGTGCATGTGTGTCTCTTCTGCAACTTCGAATTCACGTGGGCGAGAGACTCAGTGTCAGCTGTGGCAAAGACCAAGTCGTCGACGTACACAAGGATGTAGAACGGCGGCAGCGAAGTGTCGGTGCGTAAAAACAGCTTTTTGTCAGCAGTAGAAGGCGAGAACCCAAGTGCCGCAAGAGTAGTCCTCAGTGTGTCGTGCCACTCACGTGGCGCCTGGCGGAGACCGTAGACCGGCCGCCGGAGGCTCCACTGGGTATGAGGAGGAAACGACCCAGTGAAGCCAGGAGGGCGGCGCAGCCAGATCTCCTCATGCAGACTACCCTGCAAGAAAGCTGTGCTGAAGTCAAGAGAGTGAAGCTCGTAGTCGCGCTGAGCAGCAACGTGCAGTAGTACCCGAAGAGTGGTCATCTTCGGGGTGGGGGAGAAGGTCTGAAAGAAGTCTACTCCCTCTCGCTGACTGAAGCCTCGAGCAACGTAACGAGCCTTGAAGACAGGCGGAGAACCCGGCGGCCGCTTCACCCTGAAAATCCACATGCCACTAACGATGTTCGCCCCAGGTGGGGGAACCTGGTCGACGTAGGTGCCTGTGGACTTCCAGGAGGCCATCTCTGCGTCCATGGCTGACTGCCACTGTGAGGAGTAGGGACCCTCGATTGCCTCAGCGTACGATCGAGGAGTCGGGATGTCTGGTGCATCCGGGTCTCCCTCAGGGGCAACTAGCATGGACACGCGATGGGGCGCAGCGGCTGCAAGACACTCAAGATCCTCCTGTCGGTCCTCAAGGACGTCCGTGCTAAGAGCACACTCACCCCCGACAGACGGAGGACAGACAGACTCAGACTCAGCGACAAGACTGGCAGCGTAGTCTAGACGACAACGAGCAGCAAAGTCGACAAGCTCAGCAACTAGGGCAGACGCAGCAGCAGACTCAAACGAAGGGTCAGTGACACCAGTGGCCAGGAGGCGCGTGACAGTAGGGCTGGCACCACGAAGAGAGTCAGACTCAGGGTCAGCAAGAGCAGGAAGAGAGGACTCAGGAGGAGACGGCATAGGGACACGCTGTGGAGTAGTGGAGGGACGCAGTGACATCCGGTGTGTGCCAGGGACTGGTGGCGGACGCTCACGCGGAGTACGGCGACTGGTGGAAGTAGTACGAACAGGTGACTCAGGACGGGACACAGGCGACACAGGGCGAGACTCAGGCTCACGACGCTCCGTAAGACCGCCTGTAGGACCAGTGTAGGGAGAAGGACGAGGAAGTGGCGAGGCAGGTGGTAGCTGTGACTGAGACTGGACCGGCGGTGGACACTCTACAGAGGGAGGGGGACAAGGTGGAGGTGACTGACCAAGAACCTGCTGAAGGAGTGGAACGAAGTACGGCCGCGGCCGCGAGGTGCCCCCTGCAGCAGCAGAGACAGCACCAGAACCTCCAGCAGCTCCAGCAGCTCCAACGCCCGGGTCCGCAGCACCAGCAGCAGCCCCAACTCCAGGGTCCGCAACACGAGTAGCAGCTCCAACTCCCGGGTCCGCAGCACCAGTAGCAACCCCAACTCCAGGGTCCGCAGCACCAGCTCCAACGCCCGGGTCCGCAGCAGCAGCAGCAGCTCCAACTCCAGGATCCGCAGCACCAGTAGCAGGGTCCGCGACACTAGGAGCGCCACTCCTGAGACTGCAGCGCCGTGCGTACCACTCACGAAGTCGCTGGGGAGAGGGCAGCTCCTGCCTAGGAGAGGAAGCACGAGCACCAGCTCCACCAGCACTCCTAGCTCCAGAAGCACCTCTCTTGAGGCTACAGTACTGTAAGTACCACTCACGCAGCTGCTGTGAGGAGAGAGCTCCTCCAGGCGTAGCACTCCCAGGCTCAGCACCCCCACACTTAGCACAAGCAGGCTCCGTACTCCCAGGCTCAGCACCCCTAGACTCCGCACCCCTAGTCTCCGCAACCCCAGGCTCCGCACGCTCAGGCTCAGCACCCCGAGCAGGACGAGAGTCGACAGCTACCTCGACAGGCTCAACCGGGTCTACCTGGGACACACCTGAGGGAGCGGCACCCTGAGGGGGGAGGGGGTCTACCACAGCAGCACCTGGCGTGAGGAAGAGAGGCGGGGGAGGGAGCGGGGCAGTGCGGTAGGGGAAGAGGCGGTAGAAGGGTACCGACTCGTCAAAAGTGACGTCCTGAGAGGCGAGGACGCTGCGCGAGGTGGGGTGGTAAAACTGCCAACCAGACGCGTCCGGAACACAGCCTAGGAAGACACACGGAACATCGCGGGAGGAGAGCTTGTCCGCGGACGTATCGCGAACAAAAGCT